GTCTGTAATTGTGACATTTGCAGGATCAGTCCGACCATCAGAAATTAAGGCTTGGCCTTTAATTTACAGAGTAGAGGCACTCTCTCCTCGTCCGCTCCGATGCATAAAGTGCTGGCGTTATGTTCACACAATGAAATGTTGTACGTCAGCGGTCAGTTGTAAGGTATGCGGGGAAGGTCACAATTCTAGCGACTGTCTGAGTGATAACGAAAAGTGTTGCCTATGTAGCGAAGCTCATGCGGCCGATAGCTCTAGTTGTTTGGCAACGGTACGTGAACTGGAAATTCTAGAGATAGTAGAACGAAGACGGTGTTCACGGAAGGAAGCAGCACTTGAAATACAAGCACAAACACAAGGCTACGCCGGTGTTACAGCTCGTAATATGCCAACAATGGAAGCTCTCTCTGTCCCTATTGCGGAAGCGATTGAGAAGGCAGTGGAGAAGGCAATGGAGCGCATCGCTGGGAATATTTGTGGGTCCTTGGCCCAGATTCTATCGAACCAGATGGCTCAAATGTTGGGTACAGCGGAAAACAACCACAGTGCACCACGTAACATTATTGACTCCTCGGAGTTCTCAAAGAAGTATGACTCTGCTACGCCACATCAGGCTACGGAAGCCCTTCACATTCGTGACTCCCCTAAAATTTCAAAGAAGTATGGCTCTGATACGCCACAGCAACCTATGGTAGCTGCAGATTCAGTAGAGGAAGGTAGCGTATTTCAATGCGATCTTACCAAGAAAGTGGAGGACTCAGACGAAATGGAGATGGATCCCCGATCGCTAAAGCGCTCGAGATCCCCTTTATACAAAAAAGGCATCGCACCTGTCGATTCAAAAACCAAAAAGTACCAGAAGAACACCCTGTCTATAGCTGATTTTCTTAAAGAAAATATTCTAAACAAGGCCATCGCTGAGGCTATTTTAGAGCAAAAATAGGGTCACTTAAAATTCTTCATTGGAATTGCCGATCAATTCACTCTGCAGCAACTGATCTAATATATTTGGCATCGAAATTTTCTCCAGATATTATTGCACTGCAAGAAACTTGGCTTTCAATGCATCAGTCTTTTCAATTAAATAGATTCAGATCTTTCCGTCTAGACCGTCCATCGAAAGGTGGAGGTTTGGCATTTTTTAATAATAATAGAATAAGTCTCAAAGCAAAAATTGCGTATAAGCTCATGTCACCTGACAGTGAAATTCTCGCTTTAGAAATAACCTTACCAGGCTGCATGCCTTTTTTGGTGGTGAATGCATACTTTCCTGAAGGTGTAATAGATACTCGATGTTTAGACGCTGCAGTGACTTCTAGTTATCAAAATAAAATTCTAATCGGCGATTTCAATTCTCATCATACGTGCTGGGGTTTCCGAACTGATCAATGTGGTAAGAGATTATGGGAGTGGACAGCGGATAATAACTTGTGTGGCCTGAATTCAAGAACACCCACTTACATTAGTGATAGGTCTCGTTCAGCCTTAGATTTAAGCTTTGTGAGTTCATCACTCACTAGTTTGTCGTGGAGTGCGTGTGATTGTGCAACTAACAGTGATCATTTGCCAATATTATTCGAGATTGCTTGCCAAGTTATAATGTCAGGCTCTAAGACTCGAGTGTTTATTAATTACACCAAATTTAGGAAAGATTTGGAATCTGCTTTGGCAACTCATTCTGAAGAGCAAGAAGATACAAAAGCCATGAGACTAAGTGCACTGATCAAAAGAACATATAAAAACGCAGAATTCGTTGTGGAATCCGCAAAGAGCACAATCCACAGTCCGTGGTGGAACTCGGATTGTGCCCGGGATTTCCGACGAAGAAAGGCAGCTTGGAAAAAACTTATTTATAACCAGTGCCCTCAAAACTGGTCTGATTACAAGTATCACGCTGCAATTTTCAAACGCACGGTCTCTTTAGCTAAGGAACAATATGATAGAAAACATTATGATCACCTTTCAAAAGCTTGTAACAAAAAGGCGCTGTTCAGGTTCATGAGATCACGTAAAATGATGCCATCTCAAAATAATATAGGGTTTGAGATTATGTGCTTGGAAGAAACACAGAAATCCTTAGAAACCATGGCTAAAGGCCTGGAGTGTAGATTTACATCAACTAAGCCTTACGATCCACAAAAACCAGCGTCAACGATTGAAGTTACTGAAGTTACAGAGGAAGAGTTAGCACAAGTGATACAAGGAGGTTTGCCCTCGTCAGCTCCTGGTCCGGACGGAATCACAACTGCTATGATAAAAATATTATTCAAATTATCACCATGTGACCAACTAGACACTGTAAATTATTCGTTAAAATCTGCCTGGATTCCGTATGATTGGAAATTAGCTAAAATAGTGCCGATACAAAAAAGACAAGGATTCGGATATGTCATAGAAAACATTCGACCCATTTCTCTTACATCTAATGTGGTGAAGCTCATCGAAAGAGTGCCCAATAAAAGAGTTTTAATATGCATGGAGGAAAATTCGATATTAAATCCAAATCGAATTGGCTTCAGAACAGATTGTTCAATCTGGTGTGCACACGCAGATTTAGAAAGCCGCATTCAGCTTGCTCGCAAAAAAAGACAACATGCGGCACTAGTGACATTGGATATAGCTAAGGCATACGATAGTGTAGAACATTCAGTATTATTAGACATATTAGAGAGCCACAATCTCCCAAAATATATATTGGCGTGGGTGAGGGAATTTTTGAGAGGAAGGGAGTTCTATTGCTTTAAGGATGGTTGCGCATCGTCAAAGTGCAAACAAACACGTGGTGTCCCCCAAGGCGCTGTATTATCGCCAGTTCTATTTAACATCTTAATGAGCACTATACCGCATTGCCAGGACGTGAAGGTGTTTGTATATGCTGACGATATTGCATTTTTCACGGCACATAGTGTCATATATTCTTTATATCAAACGCTACAGAGATATGTCAATATGCTGGAGAGATGGCTAGATGCAGTCTGCATGACCTTAAATGTAAATAAGAGTGCAGTATTGATATTCCAGTTATCTGATCCCATCTCAATTTCAATATGTTATAAACAAGAGCCCATTCCACATGTGGAATCTCTTAAATAATTGGGAGTAACTTATAATGCCAACCTAAACTTGACTCCTCACATAGAAAGCATGGCATCTAAAGCACAACGCGCCTTAGGAATTCTTCGTAGACTGAGCAGCCGCCGATATGGTCTACGCAGAAGCACAATGGTGATGATCTGTAAAATGTATATGCGACCAATCCTAGAATTCGGGTGCGTATTGTTCTCAGGTGGCCCTGCCTATAAAATAAAGCCTCTGGTTATGCTGGAACGAGAAGCCTTGAGATTGTGTCTAGGACTTCCGAGGTTTGTAAGAAACAATGTTTTGTATCAGGAAGCACGATTACCTACATTGCCTTGCCGTTTTTGTATCCTAACGGTTCAGACGTTTCTGAAATTTTATAGCTATGCGCAGAGACGATCTGAGTATGATTTTATAAATGACCCAGACAGATTTTTTCTTGCCCATTGGCCACGCTTTCGAACACCTCAAATTGCTTTTGTCCAGAAACAACTAGATAGGTTAAATGTAAAAATACGAGATGTGATTGCTGCGCAGGATACAAATCAATTTCTTAAGATTGAATTCGATGAGATTTTTCCCTCTAAGCCCAAATTACAATCCTATAGGGTCTTAAATAGCCGACTGCAGGATTATCTTGCACACGCGGAAACGAATAACATTATAGCCACAGATGCTTCAGTATTGGATGAAAAGACAGGTGTAGGTATATACTCACATTCGCTTGACTGGTCTTTTTCATTAAGATTACCGGATTTCACCCCAGTTTTTGAAGCTGAGCTGTTGGCAATAGTTCTAGCGCTGCGAAAGCTACCTTTGCATGCCGCTAATGCGATCATAATAACGGATTCCCTGTCAGTATGTACGTCGATTACGGCGTCAACAAAATCGATGGCCCTAAAGACGCTCCATATGCTAGTTCCTCCTCAGCTGCAGCTACTGAAATTAGTATGGGTACCCGGTCATTGCGGCTTAGAAGTAAATGAAATCGCCGATTCTCTAGCACGAGCAGCATTGGAAGGGCCAGTACTATCAGTCCTTCCCGAAGTGGCCACTATAACAGCGACCAGATACAGAAAGCTTGCGCTCAGTGCAGACGCTATGGAAGCAATATTGTCAACACCAGAATTTACTCACTTAAGATTTCCATGGAAAAGTCATTGGTGTCCTACAAAACAGTTGGAAACCATAATAACCAGATTTCGATGTCGTGTCCCCCCGTTAAATTTCTATTCACATAGGGCTGGTCTGGCGATATCACCACTATGCAACTTTTGTTCAGAATTGGAAACAATAGAGCACTATTTTTTATCATGCCGCCGATACAAATTGCTTAGGAAAACATTCTTAGCCCTCCCATTGACTAGCCTGGGGTTGAATTTCACTATAGAAAACATACTTTCCTTCGGTGCTTTCGATCTGGGCTTCAGCCACGAGAACGTTTTCTACGCAGTTTGCAAGTACCTGAATGAAAGTAAAAGAATTAAGCTTTTAATTGCGTGATTATTAATCATGCAAAAAAAATAATAATAATATTTCCAACGAACACAAGAGCATTGTTTAACTATCCTGATTCTTATTCAAGGTAATGAATAGTTGTCTTATCTGCACGAGTGACTAGCAACTATTGCACTCCATTCATTCTGACTAGGGTGTCTTTACTTTTTTCATTCTTTTTTCTGGTGGGTGGTTTCGATATTAAAAAAAAACTTACTTAATTAAGCAATCGATTCTTGGCCAATCCCCCTGAGTGGGTACGAGCCATGTCTGTGGATTCATCATCATCATCATCTGGCGCTGAAGAGCATCGTGGCGTTGGCGAAAAGCATTCTAAAGCGTTATCCGTCGTCACCCCGAACATCTCCACCACGCCAGGCGGCAGCTCACTGTTGGGACGCACCTTCGTGGCAGGCCTCGACGGCACCATGACCCACGACGACCTGGAGCGCGAGTTCGGCAAGTACGGACAGCACAAGGAAGTGCGGATGGCGCCAAAATCCCCGGGCTTCGCGTTCGTCGAGTTCGAAAACATGTCGTACGTAGACGAAGCGATGCGCGAGATGAACGGTGCTATCGTCAATGGCGTGCTGCTTCGGGTCGAGCGAGCTCGACAAAAGTCGAGGTGGGCGTGCGGTGTCGCAGTCAACGGTGGCGCGGTCGGACCCTTCCTACCGCGATCGCGCCGTGATGGCTGCGACGCGGCCGTGACAGGATCGTACCAGCAGGCTGGCCTCGAACGCAGAATGATTCGTCGCGCCCCAGAGTTGATGGTCGCGTTTAGTCCTCAAGAAACTATGCCGCTGATACCACGCTCAGTGCCCCAGGATACGGCTACGACTACGCGTCGACGACAGTGATGGCCAACCCATACGCCGCGCCACCAGCCTACACACCAGCTCTGCCGGCGGCTGCGTTCTGGAAGTCGCTCTATGGGACCACATACGCGGCACCAGCATCGGGATTTGCGGAACGAGCACCGGGATACACGGCACCTCCACGAGGAAGGTCTCGATAAATAAAAGACGATATGACCTCTGTCCATGGTAAAGCACTAGACGTCAAGCCGAGCCATTAACAATAAACACGAGCTCATCGACTTCTCTTCTTCATCCTGTATTCTGTCTCCCAATAGCACATACGCACTGAGGTATGGAGCTCATATCTTTCAATGGCCGCGGCAATACTGTTAGCGACATTTCTCAACAACACAGTCCCCTTCCCCTGCATGCTTCGCATAACATTTATTTGTGAAGCACGTGGGATCAGCCGAATTTTATTTACTCAACACACACACAAAAAAAATCTCAAGCCCTGCGCGAAATGCGCAGCGCAGTCGCAGAGATAGCTGGAAGAGCGGCCTTTCAGAGCCTTTGTTAAGCACTTTTTGAATGACTTATACAAGCACACTTGCAGAGTACCCACCATGCCGTGAGTCATGATATATGTTTTGTGCAGTAGGGAGGCATTCACTATTCCCTCTTTACTCATTATTCGGAGAAGCGTGGTACCCGCTATATCATGTCGTGTGTTATAAAATACAGAGGGTTTATTTAGGAACAAGGACAGTGGAACTCATAGATGATGATGATGATGATGATGATGATGATCGTAATGATGTTGATGATGACTTCTTATGGATGGCGCTCACCCACAAAGGGGGATAGAGACGCTCTCAAAAGAAGGCCGCAAAGATTATCGTCTTCCTCACTCACCTGCGCTGCGCCTCTCGAGCGAATCCGCGATCTTCGTTGTCATCGCTATCTCGCAGCCAGACGCAGCTATGCACGGCATTACCCTCCCACCACAGTGAGCGTCGTCCCGGTGCTCACCAGGTAGAGATTCGGCTAGCGGGTGTTTACATCACTCAGAGTGGTAAAGTTTCATGCAGGTTACGTGCATTGTCTCAGACAGATGCTGGCAACGTTTAGAACAGGAGAAGGCATCGGGCACGACTTCGCACGTCACAGACGGCCAAAACATTGTAGGGTCCAAAGTATCGGCGTATAGGAGCTTCCCCGAGAAGCCTCGGCGTCGTACGGAAAACCAGACCCAGAGTCTATCGCCTGGTTCTTAAGCGACGAATCGATGGCGAAGGTTGTACGATTGGTTGTCAAGTTGCTGCTGATTGATTATTCTGACGCGGGCAAGCTGCCTTGCTGCCTTGGTGCGCTCAGTGAAGTCTGAACCGTCTGTCTCTGAATCATTTCAATCATAAGGCAGCATGGCGTGAAGCATTGTAGTAACTTCTCTGTCATGAATTCGTGGGAACGGCGTCATTTTCGTTCTTTCCTGGTGCGCCGTATTATACGCGAATGTGAAGTACGGCAAGATGTGGTCCCCATTCTCGTTTTTCACGTCGACGTACATGCAAAGCATGTCAGCGATTACCTTGTTCAGTCGTTCTGTAAGCACATTCGTTTGTGAGTGGTAAGCTGCCGTCTTCCTATACGCTGTGCCACTTAGCGTGAGCACAGTGCGCAAAAAGCTCGGCGGTAAACGCGGTACCGTTGTCTGTTATGACGGCAGCTGGAGCCCCATGTCTCAGGACATTGTTCTGAATGAATAACTGGGCCGCTTCAGCTGCAGTGCCACTCGCAATCGCCTCGGTCTCTGCGTATCGGGTGAGGTAGTCTGTCGCCACTATAACCAATTTGTTGCCGATGTCCGATGTTAGGAATGGGCCAAGCAGATCCATTCTGATTCAGAAAACAGAGCTTTTGGCACTAGCACTGAATGTATTAGCCCAGTGGGTTTGAGAGGCGGTACCTTGCGCTGCTGACAGTCAGTGCATGTTCGGGCGTAATGTTTCATCTCTGCTGTGATTTTTGGCTAGTAATATTTTTTTAACGCATGTCGGTGTTCTTGTGACACCGAGGAGGACCACAGTGGCTTCGTCATAGCAGGCTTGTAAACTTTTACCACGGAGAGCTTCAGGAACTACCAGCTGATAGCTTCTATTTGTTGATAAAAACTCTTTTTGTAAAGAATTCGTCCCGTAAACAGAATAGCGATAAGTTCTTCGAAAACACTCTTTGTGCATTGGCGACTCGTCCGTTCAAGAATTTTATAAGCGAGTTGAGCTCCCACTAATTTTGTTGTTGCCGAGAAATCATAGCCGCATCAGCAACTCCTAAAACGCCTGCGAATTCATCATCCTCTGTAGCCGGTGATTCATTCAGTGAGCTTGACTGTCGGCATCTAAGTGTTGCTTTCCGAACTTGTGAACTACGGCCATGTTAACTCTTAGAGCCGTAAACTCCATCGTGCTAAACGTCCAGATGGGTCTTTCATGTTGGTAAACCAACAAAGAGTGATGTGTCACCTCTGCTGCGATTCTTGGCTAGTAATACTTTTGTTCTTCGTGTAACTTCGCAACTGCCCAAACGACAACCAGACACTCCTCCGTTGTTGAGTAGTTGGACTCGGCACGTGTCAACGTTCTGCTAGCGTAGGCAACCACTCCCTCCACACCTTCTTGGCCCTGGACAAGAACAGCACCTAGGCCCACATCATCGGTATCTTTATGGATGGCTGTTGGTGAATCCTCGTCGAAGTGAGCGAGGACGAGTGAAGTGTGCAGACGGTTCCCCAGCTCGTTGAACGAAACTTCTTGCTCTTCCTCTCATACAAACGCAACGTCTTCCCTTGTAAGGCGGTTCGGTGAATAGGCGCGATGTGTGCAAAGCCTGCTATAAATGGCTGGTAGTAGGCTCAGAGACCCAGTAGACGTCTGACTGCTTTCTTATCCTCAGGTGTGTCGAACTTTGCGATGGTTTCAGTTTTATCTGGGTTAGGCCTCACACCTTCGCGACTGACCACGTGTCCCAGGAGCTGGAGTTCTTCGAAGTCGAAGTGGCATTTTTCCGGTTTTGATGTGAGTTCAGCGGTCTGTATATGGCTTGAAGGACCGACAGTAGCAGCTTTAGATGTTCTTCAAACGTGGCCGAAAAAACAATCACGTCGTCGAGGTACACCAGGCATGCTTTCCATTTCAGGCCGGACAGAATGGTACCAATTTGTATATTACGCCGGCCGAAAGCGACGACTTTGAATTCATAAAGCCCGTATGGCGTCACGACTACAAGCGGTCTTTTCTCAGTCGCGCTCATCTACTTCTGTTTGCCAGTATCAAATTTTAAGGTCCATTGACGAGAAGCAGCGAGTATGCTGTAGCCTGTCTTTTAACAGTCATCGATCCGTGGTAATGAATAAACGTCTTTTTTCGTAACCTGGTTAAGCTTACGATAATCGACGAAGAAACACAAGCTGCCATCTTTCTTTTTCACGTGTATCACTAGAGATGCCCAAGGACACTTTGATGGTTGAATTACATCATCCTCTCGCATATTCTTGACTTGCTGCTGGATTACCTGACGTTCTTTTTGAGCGACGCGATATGGGTTCTGTTTGATCAGTCTTGATGTGTCTGCCGCGATGATGCGTTGCTTAGTCCCAGGCATTTGACCCACTCGTGATATCGATGAGAAGGAGTCCTTGAGCTGGTTGAGCAGCTCCATAAGACGGCATCTTTTAGTCGGTGTTTGAATCGGACCGATATCGACTGGTGGTGTATGCGGAGCTTATAGGGCTGTGGCCTCCTTTTGCATAAGACAGTCTTGAGAGTAGTCGAGCTCCTCGAGGTATACCACAGCCGTGTCTTTATCGATGTGCCGGCGCTCCTACTTGAAGTAGGTCAGAAGCACGTCTGCGCACCCATCCACTATGCTGACGATGCCGTGAGCGATGGCAATGCCTTGTCGAAAAAGAAGGGCAGTGAAGCGTTCAGCTATGGCGTCTTCATTACAGTGCACACCGAAACACACAGAAACAAGACGACATGACAGTAGTGGCACGCAGACGTCGTCGTCGACCACACGTAACAACCTGGGTTCTTCATCTGGACCATGGGTCACAGGCTTGTCAGGGGCGAATGTAAATACACGGCCACGTACGTTGACCACAGCACCGTACTCTCCCAAAAAGTCCATTCCCAGTATCAGTGGTTTCCAGCGCACTGGTAGGATCAGAATTGTGGCTACAAAATCACATTCTCATCGTGAGTCTTGCTGTACATTTTCCCGT